TAAGAAGATCAGTTCCCCTGCACTAGAGTCCTGGTATGGTGCTGTGGGTTAATGCGCTGGACTGCAAAGCCAGGTTGAACCGCAAGGTTGGCAGTTCAAGCTCATCAGCCACTCCTCGAAAACCCTATACAGGGTCACTGTGAGTCAGAACCGACTTGACGGCACTTAACAACAACAACACTAGAAGGAAGTATGTGGGATCTGGGTGATGGGGAGGGGAGAGGAAGAAGGAAAGAACAAAGTAGCTGCGGACCTAGAGAACCCTAAGAGAAAGGACACCCCTGATGAGCTCTACAGTCACACTAGAGAAGGAATTACAAGATTAGACGTGAGGTATGGCCTAGTAATAAGATAAAATTTTGATGAAAAAAAGTATTTTAATAGTTTCCTCAAAAATGTAGATGAACTGAAATTCCAACCATAATGAAAGCATATGATATTTATCACTAACTGTAAGCAATAGCTATGTAAAGTTTACTAAGTGGGACTGAGAGTAGGAAGAAAACCAAACTTCTAGCCCAGTTCATAAGATAATGAATGTATATGAAAATGCTGCTATAAATTTTAAAGGATGAAGTATATGTTAGCTATAATCATTTTTATTATGATCTGTGTTGTTGCTAAAGGCCGTCTAGTCAGTTCTGACTCTTAGTGACCCTATATAGGGTTTCTGAGGCTGTAAATCTTTGCGGGAACAGAAAGCCTCTTCTTTCTCCCATGGAGCGGCTGCTGGGCCTGAACTGCTGACACCTTGTAGTTCGCAGTCCAGTTCTTACCTTACTGAGCCACTAGGCTCCCCACTATGATCTACAATTAGAAATCAAAACCAACGATACATGTGAGAAAATGTTTTAGTAAATATTTGATCCGGACAATTTAATTACAGTGCAACTTGAGAGCACAGTTTCTCAACCACAGCACTACCAAGATTTTGGGCTACTCCTGGTGTGGCACTGTGGGTGTCAGACGGCAAAGTAGTTTGAAGTGGTTCAAGCTCACCAGCTGCTCCTTGGAAACCCTATACAGGGTTGCTATGGGTCAGAATCGACTCAACAGCACTCAACAACAATTATTTGTTGGGAGGTTGTCCTGTGTATCATAGATGTTTAGCAGAATCCCTGGCCTTTCCTAACTAAAGACCAGTAGTGACAAGAAGAAATGCCTCTGGAAATTGCCAGACATTAAAAATTATCCTTGGCTGAGAACCATTCCCTTAAAGCAGGTGGCGCTGTGGGTTAATGCACTGGACTGCAAGCTTGGGGGGTCAAGCTCACCAGCAGCTCCTCAGAAACCCTATCCAGGGTCACTATGAGTTGGAAAGGCACTTAACAACAACAAAGGCCACACCCAGCTGGCTACTGAGTGCTTAAACTGTGCTAGTCTGAATCGAGATGTGCTGTGAGTGTAAAATGCACACTAGATTCTGAAGCGTTAGTATAAAAAAAATTGCAAGCTATCTCAATAATCTTTATACTGACTAAATGGTAAAGTGATATTTTCAAAATAGCTAAATAAAATATAGTGTTCAAATATATTTTACCTTTTTAAAAAAATGTGACTACTAGAAGAGTTAAAATGACTTATGTGGTTGTATTATCTTTCTACCACTGAATTGGAGCAAAGAGCTCTTACCCCTTCATGCTACACATTCCAGGCAGCCTTTGATGAGAGGAAAGGGCCCTTGGAAGAGGTCAGTCCTCAGTCTTCTCCACACTCTCCCTGAGTGATCTGCAGTCTTACTGCTTCAAAGAGATCACTCCTCAAAGATGACAGCCCACTAAACTTTAGCTCCAAGGCAGCCAGAGCTCCACTGACACCTAGCCCCATATGCCCAACTATTGACTTACTAGCCCTACTTAGACAACCTAGAGGGATCCCAAGTTTAAATATGCTTCACCTTCACAATGGCTCCTTCTCACGGATTCCCTTGTTTAGGACTTGGCGCCATTGACCCAAGCCAGCAGCCTGAAAGGCCTCCCAGACTTCTCCCTTCTCCTTCACCCTCTTGTAATTTCTCACCAAGCCCTGCTTCTTACACTTGCTAAAAATTTCTGGACCCTTCCTCTTTTCCTACCTCAATGGTTAGGCCAAGTCACCATGATTTCTCCCTGTGTTAACAACCCTTTCATTTTATACTTTTATACACGCTGCCCTACGCTTCTCAAAGTATTTATCTTACAGGCATCTATGTTGTTCAGTGTTGCTTTGCCTGTTGAGAACAGTATACTAAATAAAATCAGGCGCCTCCACATTCATTGGTCTATCTTCAGTGATTGAGGAAGGAAAGAAGGAATACAGGGGGTAAACTGTTAACTCACCGTTTTGCAACGTAAAAGAGATTTGGATGACAAAAACCATAGTTTCATTAGCTTACAAGGTCTGGGAAAATATCAGTCCATATGTCTAAATATCAGACTTTATATATTGATGCAAATCCTAGGATTCTAGAAGTGGGGGAAAAGTGCTCGAGAACCCTACGCTGCGTATCTCTTCCTAAACAAACCTATTGTGACTGCAGTCACAGTGAAACCTTTGCATTTACTGGATCGTGAAAGAACAGCTAAAGACTGCCTTTTATAACTCTCCAACTTGATGCCCTGGAGTTCTGGTGTGGTGCTGTAGGGTAACCATGGCACTGCGAACCACATGGCTGGCTGTTCAAACCCATCAACCACTCCTTGGAAACTCTATGATAGAGTCACTATGGGTCAGAACAGACTCAATGGCACTTAACACCACCAATAACTTTTTCTTCAATATCTTAGTGTCTACAGTTTCAAGGTTATGCAGTGAAAACATACTAAGATTTATGCAAAGGTAAAGTCCATCATGATGAATTAAACTACTTCAGACAGAAAATTACTCTCTAAGAACACAAGTTCAAAACCAGTGCACAGACTTTCTCCCAGTCAACTCTCATTAGAGGGACCTTGGTCTATCTCCTTACCTAAGCCAGTCTTCAATCTCCAGTCCATCACTAGTTTTAAAGGCTTATGATGGAACTTGGCAGGCTTTGTGTTACTAGAAAGTCATGGCTGCTACTGATTCAGAAGTTAAAACAAAGTTGAGAATTGTACAGATGTTGACAGTACTTTATGTAGTCCAGATCTAGACTAAAGAGGAACTTACTCAAAGATTCCAGGTAATAAGTGTATTTTGAGAATATGTAGACACAAAGGCAAAAACTAGACTTGGGTTTTCATGAATCTTTTGTCTATTGGTTCTCCATGAAGTAGGGAAGTAGTGTAGGTAGGTAGGGCCTAATGCATATGATTAAGACCAGGAAAGAGTTGAGAAGAAGACAGCATGTCAAAGTCAGGGTTAACTCCAAGGACCAAGGGTACAGTGTAGGGCTCTACTTGCTTAACTGTTATAATTATTCTTTCTTAATTGCCTTTTTGTTGTTAAATGCGGTCAAGTCAGTTCCAACCCATAGCGGCCCTGTATAGGATTTTCCCGAAGTGGTTAGTGAGCTTGAACTGCTGATCTTACCATTCAAACCAACTTTGCAGTTCAGTGCACTAACCCAATGTGCCAACAGATATTATATAAAAGACCATTCCTTTGTAGTAAGAGGAAGAGAGATGGGGCCTTAACTAAAGGCATGCTTTGTTGTTGTTAAGTGCATGCCAAGTGGATTCAGACTTGTAACGACCATGTATAGGGTTTCCAAGGAACAGCTGGTGGGTTTGCACTGCCGACCCTATAGTTCGCAGTCCAGTGCTGATCCTACAGGATCACACCAGGAGTTAGAACACATTTTTGTTAAAATGAACTTCCATTTCATTTACTCTCCTTTGATAGCCCAATAAAGAAAACAATGGCAATGACTAGGGTCACACTTTTTTAGGCAGTGGGATAGAGAAATTCAGGAAGAAAGAGAAGTTTTTTTAAAATTACAAGCTCTGTTTCTTTTTTGCAATAACACTAAAAGAATGGTGGGTAACTTAACAAAGCTCCATTTTTTACTTGAGCTTTGAATTTTCTGGTGACTTTTTTCTAATAGGCTCAGATCTCAGCAGAAGCGTCTGTGTTTGACAACAGGAGTGAGGAAGCGGAGGTGTAACACAACAGAGTAAATGTGAAAACAGAAACCGAAGCCTGCCTTCCAGTTGTGCCACTTACTCTTCCTGTGACCTTCAGCATGTCACTTCCCTTCTCTGAGTCACAAAGTCTCAACAAGGACACTCTGACTCTCAAGGGGCTGAAAATGAGCTCTCATGGAAGAAAGGGACAACAAAAACTCTTAATCTTTTTATGAATCAAGCATAAAGATGCATGTATTACGTAACAGATAATAGAGTAAAAATATCGGTGTTGATATATAAATTTCATGATGGAGTGGAGGAGAAATCCTGTCCTCCACACCCACCCACTGTCATCACGTCGATTCTGATCTTCCAGTGACCCTGTAAGACAAGAACTACTCCATCGGGTTTCCGAGACTGTCCCTCTTCAAGGGGTACTGCACTAACCCTCACTTTATTAACTGTAAAATGGGTTGGCATCACTCACCTTAACGGTTACTATGATTTGGCTATATCTACATATATGTAGAAAGACTGAGCAACTGGAAATAAAGCAGAGAGGAAAAATAAAACTGTGGAATAGTTGCAAATAGATCCAAGTGTACATATTTTAATATCATTCTGTGACCAATTTTATTACCAAGACAATTTACTTCTCCTTAGTCATTTCACCACTAGGAGCTCTGGTAGCGTAGTGGTTATGAATCGGACTGCGAACCACAAGGTCAGCAGTTCAAAACTACCAGCTGTACCGCCGGAGAAAAATGAGGCTTTCTGCTCCTGTAAAGATTTACAGCTTCGGAAACTTTGTACAGGGTCGCTATGAGTCGGAACCAACTCCACGGCAAATAACCATCACCACCAGTCATTTCACCAACAGAAAGACTAACATCAAAAAAGGAAATGTAAAGTCATAGTAAAAATCAAATAATAAACATAAAAAGAATCTATAAATATGGCAAAGATACAAACCTAAAACACCAATTTGAAGACCTGCCAAGCCTGTTTTAACTCTCTCATAAATATCTTCTGATCCAAAGTCAACGGCAATGGTCCTTGTTTCCACTTTGAATTTTTCTCCTAGTGGGGAAAAAAAACACAAATTATGATGTGGCAAACTGAATTAAAACAGTAATCACACTATACTTCCAAACTCCTCTTTTTTGTCCCAATTTGATATAAAATCCATTCCTGAGGCAAGAAGTGACTGGCTTACAAGCTTTCAAGAGGGAACCTAGATCCAAAGGGCGTGGAGGAAGGTAGAGTCTCCAGTGAGTGGTGTCCAGCCTGTCCAGGAAGGACTGATGAAACAAAATATAGATGGGTCTCTTGTGATTCAATGGTGAATAACTGCTATCAGGATTGATTGTGAGGGTCGGAAATCTAAAGATGGACATTTTGTAGCAAAGAGGGGAGTGGTTAACTTATCAGTCTAGGAGCGGAGGACCCTGGGACCATCAATGGAGAAGAGCGAAGAGCGGAATCCTACCCAGAGAGGCAGTGAGGCCTAGGATGGAGGCAGAGAAGACAACGTCAAGAGATGGTGGGGCTGGGGGCTAGGGATCAGGAGATGGAAAGGGGCTGAGGGCTGTGGGGGGGGGGGGGGGGGGCAGGCTTGCA